ACCAATTCTTCAAGGTGACAACAAAGAAACAATAAACACGGCGCGCAATACTCTGTATCGTTTAGACGCTATTTTTAGTTTTTCTACCATACCTTTTATTTCCTTTTTCTTTAATCGTCATACTATTTGTTAAAACCAAGTAGAAGCATTATTTTAAGGACAGAAAGACAGAGCACTAAATCTATAGTGAGTAATGTGTGCTTTGACTATGTGGAAGGGCCGGACGGGAAAATATTGCGCTCGGTCCGTGCATCTTAACCCGAGAACCCAATATCTGAACCGTTCGGCCCGACCAAACTCAGTCAATAAACATTTTGTCACATGACTGCTAAGTGTTTAAGTTTTTTCAACAATCCTTAACCATTGTAAGCTACACTTGTTTGGAGAATGGTTTGATTCTTCTAAGTCCATTCATGCCTTACGTGACAGAGGAGCTATTTCAACGATTACCGCGAAGGAATGAAGATTCACCGCCAAGTATTTGCGTCACACCTTACCCAGCGAAGGTGAGCACAAGGGTAGGGAGGGTAGGGCAAGCGTGTTTTTAAGTCACATATTCTTACGCGGTGTTATCTTGGAAAACGTGTTGTTGAATAGATCCGATTATAAATTTCTATAGAAAGTGATTCTAAAATATTTTTTTTCTTGTGAGGTTACATAATTAACGTGTAGTTCTAGAAGACCCCAACATGTTTCTGAGGTGTTTCTTAAAATTTCAGCTTCCATGGAGAGACACAAGTCTTGAGGACGAGTTGAATTTGGTGCAGACTATTGTGAAATCGATCCGTTCCATTCGTCAAGAGTACAACGTGACACGTGCAAAGCCTGAAGGTATATGCTCTGTCATTTTATTATTTTAAAAGTGGGAGTGACAAGTGTTTTTCACCTTGGTGTTGTCAAGGTTACTGATACGGGCCAGATTGAGATGTTTTAAATCTGAAACTTTAACCCTTTACGAGCTAACATCAGAATACGTATTCTCTATATTTTTTTATACATTTTCCATGGCATGGACAAGGAGAATAGTTTTCCGATCAAGAGCTTCTCTAATTGGAAATCGTTTTCTTCTATTCTCATGACCGTAATGTTTCATTCAAAGATGACACTGTAAGGTGAAATTAGACGCTCATCCCTTATAGCTGCGGTGGGGTTTACTTTTGTAGCTTGAGCTTGATTACATCACGAGCTGGAATTTCGGGATACGTTCGCACTTAGTCCTTGGAAAAGTTTAAGAGCTAAAAAAATTAATCTTACAACGCCTTCATAATCCAAAATTCTTATTCTTCAACACTCATGATGATATTATTTTCTTCGTTTTCTTTAGTGTATGTAGTGTTCTCCGAACAGTCTTTGGCGGCAGCAGTCAGCAAATACGCAGAAACAGCGTGCACGCTTAGTTCCAGCGAAAGGTAATACTAGATAAGTTCAACTGTGCGATTTTAGCGGCGCGTATCTTTATAGACAAAGAGCAAAAACAATTTCTGTCAATGAGCCGGCTGGACTCTCGAGCGAGAGCTCTTGTCCCGAGTCAACAAGTAGTTGAATGGGTAATAGTCTAAGAGTCTAAGAGTCTAAGACTCTTTGTTCTTACCAAGCTGTTCTTCATTCTAACCAAATCTTACAGCGATGTCGTACGTAACCTTTTCAAGACTTGCAGCTTCTCTATGATATCCACTCATGCTTCCAGTTGTGAAAGCACTCACTCTTCTAACTTATTAATCAGTAGAGCGGATTTCGATTGCGCGCGGTAAAACCAACACCAAAATAATCGCAAAGCCCAATCAGAAGAAAGAAAAATACCTTAAGAGCCAATGAGAACTCAAAGTAAAAACAACCAAACTGCCTAAAGTGCGAGAAAACCGCCTAAAAAACGCGGGAAACTGCCTAAAGCGCGGGAAAACCGCCTAAAGCGCGGGGAAACCGCCTAAAGCGCGGGAAAACGCGGCCGACCAAGTCGTAACTTGTTTTAGTTTTGCAACTGCCTTGGTTGAGAGAGAGTGGCGCGAGTTTTGACGAACAGTTACAGAGCGAAGTGAAGCAACACCAAACCAATCCCGGATTATTTTCGGCATTTACTTTCGACATTTGATTAATGCCACAAGGATTGATAATTCTTGTGACGCTCGTCTCTGTTTGTTTGGCAGGATTCACGTGGTGTGCGAGGAGAAGCCTCCACGGGGATGTGCTGTGGCCACTGTCTCAGACAAGTGTGAAGTGCATGTGGTTCTCAAGGTATATGGCTGACATCCTCTTATAAATAGCCTTATGAGAGTCATGTATGCGAGTGCCTAAAAGAAGAAACAGGAGGCGTTAAACCAACTGCATAATATTTTACAAGGTTACCTATTCCTTTGCAATCGTTTTATTTCTAGGGTTTGGTGGATGTAGCTAAGGAAATCACAAAGCTAGAGGGAAAGAAAGATAAACTAAATGGCCAGCTGACGAAATTAAATGAAGCCATGGGAATTGCCGACTACACCACAAAGGTATGATGCAATTGAATGGGCCAGCGTAAGAGGGGAGGGGGGAATGTGTCCTACAGTACCTTTAACTCCCCTCTGTAAACCAAGCTAGCCAGTGGTACGCACCTTAATACCAAGAGGATGGTTTTGTAGGATCGCACTGCTGAAAATACGGGCTCATACTCACGTTCACTTTACTTAGTGCGCAGTAGGTCATTTTCGAGTTGCTTTAAGCCTTTGCCTGAAAATGAAGCTTACAACGAAAGTGAGTGTGGCTTGGATACAAAAAGATGAATACCAAGACCTCTTGTCGAAAAGGAGACTAGAGAAGTCGGGAAGGTCTATTAGCTTTAAACTATTAGCCTTGAATTACGTTATTTTTCCTCTTCTGGTGATCAACATTTGCTGTTGTATGTGAACATTTCAGGTACCAGAGAACGTTCAGCAGCAAAATTTAGATAAGGTAAATGTTTTTGTAATAGACTTTCAATAGATTTAATCGTAGATCAAATGCACAAGAGTCAAATTACGTAGTCGTATAGTAATCAGACGAAAATACTGCTCTCTTGCCTAGATTATGTTTGAAAATGATTGTTGCAGGTGACACATGTTAAGTTTGATACCAAATTTCAACAGTCACTGCCAAGATCACTTTCACTAGGACGATCATACGACAAGATTAACTTTTAACTGCAGGCTTAAAACCTGGATGTGTTTTGACATGACTATATCTTCTCATAGATTGATTTTGGCTGTTATGTTTCTGTTGCAGCTCAAACAGTTGGAGACTGAGCTTGGGAAGATCGAAAAGGCGATTGCTTCCTTTAAACTGGCTGAATAATTGAATGAAATACTTCTGTCAAGAATAATAGTAAATGGAGTACCAAATACTTTTCCGCGTCACTGTTTGTATGAGATCCTGAGCCCTACTCTGGGCTGTGGTCTTGAACTCATTCCAGACTTCTCTTGGACAACAACTTAAGAGAGAAACCTGGAACTCGATTTCTATTCTCCTTTACTGCAATCCTGCGTGCGTGTGTTGTGTGCAACGCGACCAAAGGTTTTCGAAGGGCAAATGTCGCTTCCTTCGACCATTATTTGGGGGACTGGAAAGTGTAAATCCAGGTAGCTCCTCCTAGAATGTAATTTTATTCCTTCCTATTACTTCTGTCACCCATTGCATTTTTCTGGGCATTTTCTCTTTATAAGGCTGTGGTATGACCTTCTAACAAATATCTTGGAGCTATTCCGTTTGGATTGTCAACTGAACTTTTCTTGGATTTACTGCATTAGTTTATCTTTATTGTACGAAATATTTTTGTCAAGAATGAACTTTTTTTTCGAATTAACTAAAAATATTCTGGAACTTAAGAGTGCTGCTGTCTTGTAGCCGCAAAATCTAAGGGTTACAATTGAGGTATTAAAGGGAAGAGAAGCTGAATTGACTATCGCGTTATCACTTGATCTTGCAATTTTAAATTCTGATTGCAACCTGGTCGTAACAAGTGCAACGGTTGAACTCTCTACGGGAGTGTTGCGTTAGAGCTCCCGAAGCTTCCTACCCTCTCCTCGTCACAGTTTCCTACAGACATCTTTCATTTCACACAATGAAATAACACAAAAGAAGATCAATAAATAACAAGGATCTATTGCTATGAATTCCCTTTAATTTACTGCCTTAAACATTAACTATGTATCGTTTTTACATTACCAAAATATAACCATTATCCCCCGATATTTTTTAAGTGGAGAGCGGAAATGTCCCCTTTACGTTATCCTTCTAGTTAACCTTGGGATTCTCCAAAAAGTACAAAATATCAGTATTTCAAATAAGTCCCTTTTTATCTTCGTATTGGACTTCTTTTTAGTTCTACAAATTAGTTTAAACAACTTACTGGCACCGGGGCAAAGTTCATTTTACCATTAATAGTTATCACATATTTTTTTTCCCATCCACCTTCATATGTTTCCTATTATTGCTTGGATTCAACCCTATCCTACGAAACTAATAATTCAAGATTTCCTTTAGAGTAAAACCAATTTTCTTAGTTGAAAAAAATAACACTCAAAATAAGCTAACATTGTTCTTGACAAATATCTGTTTAAAAATCACAGGGTCGTTATGAAGTGTACTGATGTGAATTCTTTCGGTGTGAGGGGGGGGGAAGGGGAGAAGAGGCATAAGCCCCCTCCCCACCCAGGAACCGAGAGACTTAGCTGCTATCACAAATTGAAGTTGGCTTCTCCGCAGCAGCTCATACATTCTAATAATAGGTCATATTACACGACTCGGGCAGTCAGAGGGCCAATAACTAAAATCAACCAATCAAAATTCTCTATTGCCGGTCAATATTCTCTCAGTATTGGACCGGGCACTGTCCAGAATGGTCCCGAATGATACCGCAATTGTGTCCCTTTGAACTTCAGTCGCATAATAAATCTCTTATTAACCAAGCTTGCTCGGGACCGTACTGGAAGAATATCGGCCCTCAGTCTTTTTTGTACGGACCTCGCTGCGCTCGGTCCGTACTGTCAAGACCTCGGGCCGATATTCTCCCAGTACAGCCCTCGCGCTTGGTTAATAAGATATATATATATATATATATGGGACTGTATAAAATCTCGATAAAGGCCATTTTTTCTTTCTTCTCTTTTAGCAAATTCACCGTGATAAAATTACAATTTCGCTTAGATACAAATATACAAATTCCCGTTGGGGTACTGGAAGACAAACGAGTGGGTGTAGCAATATTACCCAAATTTGTTTTCATTCTACAACTTTGAACGACATCAAGACCCTATATTAGATACATAAATAAATGGTAAATAATAATATTCATAGGGCAGTTAAATATTTTTCGCCTGTTTTCCCGACCGTGAAGGAAGTCGGGCGATAGCAGTCATGAACATCATCAACAAATTCGAAAAACAATGAACCGCTAACAAATCGTACGTATAATATTTTGGAACTTGAAACAATGTGAAATCACCAAGCCTCGCTCATCACTTAAGACTTGAAGTGTTTGTAGCTTCAAAAATTCGCGGAGGTGCCAAAAGAAAGGCGTGCCTGCAAAATCACAAAATAAAAAATAAAAAATCACAAAGTGAAGAAAGCTACTTGTGCTACAGAAACACATACTACGATACAATCTACAATTTACAGAAAATAACATTCTGCATTAGAAGACATTGATCATAATTATGAAACCCCAAATGTAGCTTTTTTGCTAGTTCATTGATGACCATTCCCAGGTCAAGGTGGAACCAAACTCACCTGGTCAGGAAAGGTTACTTCCCAAGCGTCATCATCATTATCATATGCCCCAGGCTCACCATCTTCCTCTTCCAAAGCACTGAACCGCACCTCGTCAGACCAAATGTCTCGCAATCTCTCAGCGCGCCTACGCACTCTGAATCTCGACCCTGTCCTTCCAATCGACAACGATTTGTCGTCGTAATCAATTTCGTCCGTTTGTTGACGGGCAAAGTTGATAAAAACCTGGGAAAAATAAACAAGATTCTTTAAATAACTCAGAAATCTAAGAGAGAAGAAAGATTGAAGAAGCAGCTGAAAGAATGACTTACGTTATCTAGCGTTGTCTGACTGACGGAATAGTCCTCGATTGTCAACTCTTCATAAGACGACTCGATGTGACCAAACACCTCGGAGAGTGCCATGACACCCGAGGGGAGTTGGTACTGAACCATGTTATGATGATGTTCCTGAAAAGACGTGAATTTTTAAATAAGTAAGCGCTAAAGGAGCTACCCTATGATTTTTAATCGTTCACCGGAGGGAAGCCATGAAATATTAGTGGAAAACACCAAAGGGACAGGAATAAGCGATAAAGTAGCAGGGATGACTAAAAATAGAGAAGACTGGCACAGCTTGCGACGCCCAACTAAATTTAATTAGATGAATTAATACGACGTTTCGTGTTACTTGTTCTGACGAAGGGCCAACGCTCGAAACGTTAGCTTTACGATCTCTTTACGGAGGAAAATTCACAATATAATCTCAGTTGATAACACCAAATTATCGTGTTACCATGCACTTGGAAAATTGACAAGTCTGTCTTACCTTCAACGTTGCACGAGGGAACTTTTCCGAGAAAAACTGGTACAGAGGCTCCAAATTGGGTTGGTCTCCCTGAACACGGACCGTGATGATGTAACCATCCCCAAACCTGTCAGAAATTGAAGGTTTCAAGTAAATCGAGCTAAGGCTTTTAACTTCCCTTTTTGATTGAGAATTGAGAACCAAAACTAAAGTACCCGCAACGAAAAATCAGTGTCTACAAAATTAATTCTCATAAGAAGCAAATGGTAACTCAGGGCGGGAAAAAATATGGAACTGAATTGACTGAAGCACTGGAGAGGCTAACCGGTCCAGTCGCGCTCGGTCTAGGGATGGCACGAGTCTTTTGAACCAATCAGAGAGCGTTTTAAGACAAAACCATTGCTATCCCGGATTTCACGAAACTCTCCTTTGATATTCATGTGTACAACTGACCTGTTTTTCAGGTGTTGACAGCTTCCAAGGCACTTGAAGCGGCCATTGACCATGATGGCCAAGCGAGTGCACAGTGCTTCACATTCCTCCATACTGTTGGACATAATACATGCGTGAGTTTAAAAGAAACATACTGATTTAAACTTAGGAGGAGTTTTCGGCTATCGGTTGCTTAAAACTGACCTGTGTGAAGTCAAGATAACTGAGCGGCCGTCCTTAATGATGTCCAGAATCAAATTCCACAGAAAGCGCCGAGCATGTGGATCCATTCCCGTGGTGGGCTCATCCTGAACACAAGAAAAGAAGTTCGTCAGAAAAAAGTAAAAAGAAACATTATGATCTACCAATTTTGAAGGCCCCGTCTATCCTGAATCAGGACTCAAGGAATATAATGTCCTTGTTGTAGGTGTCGATGCTTTGTGAAAACATGAGACATTCAAAACATAAGCAGAGCAACACGGAGTGAGGAAAACCATAACCGAACAAATATATTTCAAAATGAAGCTCACATTAGCCTTGATTTCCATTCGACAAGCCCTTCCGAAGTAGGGTCTACTTACTTGAAGTTTAGCATTGTACGGTAAATTAACCCTGTCCTTATCTCCACATATCGCACGTAGCGGGAAGTCGTCTTGCAAAAGATAATCTCTTTTCGCTACCCACCCACAAAAGGTTTGTTGCGATACCGTTATAAATTGTTTAACACTCGGGAAATAACGAATTAATTACCAAGAAGATTATTGGCGGGTTGCCAATCAGAGCCATGGCGGTAGAAAGTTTCCTTTTGTTTCCTCCGCTGTACGTTTTGCTGGGTTTGTTAGCAAAGCGTGACAGTGAAAGCTTCTTAAGCGCCCAAGATACAACCTAATAATAAAGAGAAGGTTCCTTGATGACAAAAATCTATAAAATGTATCAATGTTTGTAAATATATATAAATCATAAATGTGAACTGCGGTTAAAGAATGAATAAATATGAGAGCGATCTTCTGCTTCAGCAGTGGTCATTAATGCGAAGATCGCACTCATATTTATTTCCTTACAACGTATGTTAAGCGCTAACAAGTCAATTCACTAAAAATATCCTCGCCGGTTAGCGAGACCTAAATTTGCAAGAAAACTTGTTAACCCCTCAATTCCTCCAATTTGATCAGAGATTCTTCCTTCTTTTGTCAAATAACACTCTCAAACTTAAAGGTTTAACCATTTTCATCCCCCGATTACTCGATAATGCGACGAAATTGTGAGTTACAAATTTCAAATCACTACACAGACATAGAGGGAGACTCTGTAGAGTCTAAGAGGCCACGCGGTTCATTTGGACGTAATAGCTTGATAACCTGATCCAAATGCTACTTTTAAGAGCAAAATGGGACAGCTTAAGTCTTTTGAAAAACTGTCCCGGCACATTTTTTGTTTCCAATGTCGCGAAAATTTGGGAATCGTGATTTTGAGTGTAGAACGTTTAAAATGGTCCGAAACTAAATCTCCTTCACTGATGCGCAATTTAAGCAAGTTAAATTGGGTAAACTAACAATCTAAAATTGCAAGCCCTACAGAGGGCAACACAGTTGGTCCATGCTACTTACTGACTGCAACTGGTTTCCAGGAACTCCTCTAAGCCGTGCGTAGAGCGTCAGTTGTTCATTCGCTGTCAGTTCATCAATGAGAGCGTCGAACTGAGGACAATATCCCATGCAGTTATGGACTTTCTGCATCTCAGATACAATACTGTTGACAGAGGAAAAACAAACGTCAATCAATTGATCCGTCACTCCGCCAGAATATCTCTATCTGTATCCGCGAGTCAATCTGTCCGTAATAGCGTCTCCATATATGTGTGTCCGTCATTGTCTCCCTGAGTCTGTCAGTCTGTAAGTGCGTCCTTCCGTCCGTCTAGCTGTCTATCTAGGTCCGTCAGTTTGTCAATCAATCTATCTATCTCCCTGTCTGTCAGGCTATTCATCTATCTAAAACAGATAATTAAAGACGAAAATTCGAAATTTCGACGAGGGTGCTAATTAGTTCGACAATATCAAGCCGTTTGTCCGATAATTTCCAAAGAAGGCCGCTGTTCAGGTTGCTTCAAAGCAGTGTTAAATGTCCTGACCAGATCGGTTTTGTTGTAAGCTCTTTGGTGTTCCATTTTAGGGCTCCTTTTCACTTATCCATCGATAACGTTTGGAATGAACAACTGCAAAATTAATTTCAGTGAACCAACCTTCTGGCCTCTGACTAACCTGTGTGAGTTAATGTAGGCATTCCCTGAAGTCATGGAGGTGTCTCCGGTTAACATCTTAAATGTACTCGTTTTTCCGGCTCCATTAACACCGAGCAAACCAAAACACTGCAGGGACAAAGGAGAACCTTAAGAAAATGCGCTATGAATTTTATTTACTAAAGAATCTCCTAAAAAATTTGCAAATCAGTCCCAACCATTGAAGTACAACTCACCTCTCCCTTAGGTACCCCTAAACAGAGCCTATCCACAGCCAGATGTTTACCACGCTTTCTAGAAAAGTAAATCTACATAGAAAAAAGAACGAGAAAATGGTGACAATCACTAAATTTATTGAAAAGTCGTGACATAAAGGTAGTTATCTATCCTGTTCATTACGCCGAGAGAATACCAACATTGACTTCGATTAAGCAATCGAGACTGAGCACATCTGTATCCTTCGTGTTCCTGAGTCAAATCCATTCAACACTGAATCGTCACGAGTCGCAAAGCCTCACCTTTGTTATGTTTTCTATCCTTACAAGGTCCCTACTGGCACCGCCACTCAAAACCCTTTCTTTCTCAGCTGCTACGTCCTCGTCCAGGCCTTCCACTGGCTCCTTGGACACGTTCGTTCGTCTGAAAGGACACATCGGTATAGATTGTACAACAACTATCATCAGTTCGTGGGGTTCTTCCTTTAATCGTTCCAATCCAGCGATCTAAAATCAATCCTCCCTACTATTTTCTATACATTTCTTACATTTCGTCTCTGAGAATTTGCCTGTTGAACAGTGAGTATTATCCAGTTAAAATATTTCTTTAACCTTATCAATCTTTTGCTTGAAAAAAAAATTACATTACTTGTAGAGATTCCTGTTGGTTTTCCTTGTGGGTGGGGGAGTTTAAAAGCTCACCTTCGTTTCACAAAGAATCTGAATTCTATCAGCACGGTGAAAATAAAAAACACTATTCCTTCCACAGCCATGCATGCCAGATTACGCGTGGTGAGGAGCCATTCAAAGGGATCCCGAATCTTATCGTATTCACCTGTAAACAGATAAGAGATTTACCAAGACGACGACGCCGACTGTGTTGGAACTAAACACCGGAAAGAACGCAATCATGCAGTCATTCCTTTCTAAGCTATTAGCCTGAAAACTGAGTAGTCGGAAATAAGAAACATCAAGGGGTGACAGTTTTTCTCCCTTTGTTCTGGTCAGATTCATGAAAATGGTCATACCAGTTATACCTATTTATGTCTAGTGCAACTTCTGAACTGCTCTGTCAACTTGCAATTGATGGTTATACCTATCTGTGTGTAGTACTCTGTCAAATACTGGTTGTAGGCGAGGTCCATAAGCCCATGTCCCAAGCAATAGTTAGGAAATCCAAGATTTATAATTCTCAAGGCTTCGTAAATTTTGGTTAACACCTGAAAAAAAAAAGGATATATATTCAATCAGGAACTTCAAAGAAGATCTCACTATTAAAGGGAGACGCCTTTCTAACAGTTAACAATTATAATGATAATAATAATAATAATAATACTAATAATAATAGTTTAATATTTGTAGTGAGCAAATTCCATTTACATATGATCAAATGCGGAAGTTGAAGACTGAGGCGGATAATACAAACTGAGGCTTGATAATTATTGCTATAATGCGAAAACCGACTCCAATAAGTGTTTTATTATTGGATGAGGTTGAGCATGATAGCGATAATTATCAAGACCAAAGTTTGTGTTCTCTGCCGAAGTTGAAGGCTGAGGCGGATAACACAAACTGAGGCTTGATAATTATCGCTATAATGCGAAAATCGACTCCAATAAGTGTTTTATTATGCATTTTCCTGAGCTCCACTTGTAATGACAAGAGCGCATAAAACTATTGTCTGTAGGTATGCCGTCACTTCTACATATATAATTAACAATTATTCCACGAGCGCGCGTTGGATATGAGATGATAGATAGCCAACTCGGCGCTACGCGCCTCGTTGGCTATAATCATCTCATATCCAACAAGCTTGGCCCTCGCGCCTGGTTAATAAGATATCTATATTAGCTATTTTCATACGAATTTATAGTACACAACATGAACGGCAACGAGAACAGATGTCTGTTGCACGCGTAACATATATTCAAGTTGGTCGTTTTCAATCCTTGTTAATCGTCTATTTCCTTAATTATTCTCGTTCCTGTTCGGGATATTTTTCCATTGTGTTGTCACTCTCTTTGAAAAAATTAAAATTTTGCGATTTCTCTCACGTTAGGCTTTACAATTTTGCGCGTGGGAAAAAATCTAATGAAAGCATCGTGTCATAGCTCTACAACTCCGCCACTTTTTTTATTGTACTGTGTTGGTGTTCGCTTGCTCTGCATCACCTCTGACTAAACACTGAATGCTGAGATAAAATTTAAATAGAGCATCATCTTGGAGGCATGCCTAAGAATTCTCTTAGTGTATTATCTTACCACATCATCCGGGAAAAGCTGCAGAATAAATGTAGTGACGGTGGCAGTGACTCCGACAAAGAGGTTAACCACTATCATAAACACGTACGCTGAGCTGGCTTCGCTGAAATAGAACGCTCCTGGATACATGATGGGAGTGATGGACCATCTGAAAGGAAGGATGAAGTCCCAGTTAAACAACAACTTGTTTATTGCAACAGTGGTACATCAGGAGAGGGAAACGATCAGATGGTTGGTGTCAGTAACCACTCGCTTCGCTTTCCAATCAGCAAAATGCACCGTAATGCCATTGAACGTCGTAACACCGAACCCGAGTTAAAATTTTCCCAATGCCCGCCTGAACAAATAAACATATCTCAAGACCATAACCAGCCAAAGAGAACTGGAAGCAAAAACAGGAAAACCGCACGCCTGAGGTGTGGGAAAGTCGAATCATCAAGTCAATCCGCGATTGTTTTATTCTTTTTGATCTGATAAGTGGAGGGAAGAGAGAGTATTCTTAACAAATAACAAATCGAAGTAAAACAAACCAGAGCAATATCGTATTTACTGACTCTCAGTAGGCAAATTCGATCCATTTTGTGGCCAAGATATAGTTTGTGGCCACTTAAAAAACTTACCCGTAAAGCAGGAATAGGCAGACAACGGCCGGGAAATTTGTATCCGAAGAGTAGGCAGGTACTTTAAACACATGCAGCAGAGTGATACAGGCACACGCTGGGATTAGGTAGTTACACTGAGGAAGAATTAAAAAGACAAAACTTATTTTAATATGGAGCTTTAAATATCAATCTTCATGCTAACCGTCATAATAAATGCGCTAAATAAAGGCTGTATGTTCTTGAGCACTTTTCAATGAAGTTTCAAGTCATCACAATGGAGAATAAAAACAAAGGTAATTTCAGCTGGAATTGCCGAGGACCGAAGTGGACTATACACGTAAAGGTCTCTAACGCGAGAAAAAGCGAAACTACCAAACGAAGTTTGGCATCTGGTCGTGCAGATGGCGCCAATTTTCTAGACCAATAAAAAATTGCTGTGTGGTGGACCCAACCCAACCTCAGATTTCCCTTGATATTCGATTCAAGTTGTCCAAAGCTGATCTCATAACGAAAAGTTCCCAATTAAAAGCGCTGAACTACACAAACCATTGCCTAAAAGACTGTAATATCAGCACTCACCAAGTCCCAAACGTAGTTAGAAAGCCAGTAAATGACGGGATCGACGCCGCTTACAAACTGCAGATGCTTAGCTTTGGAGGCTCTCTCGGTTACAAGAAAAACGACAAAACTCGCCGGTACAAACGACATGGCGATTATCACAAAGATCGCAATCACTAGGTCTGTACCCTGACGCCTGCAAAACAACGAGATTGTATTATCAAAAAAACGCTTTCTAGATGGAATGCAAAACCATCACAGGTAACACACCCGGTATTTGTCTGAAAAGATCTTGAAAATAATTAAATGAAATTTGTAAGGTAACCCTGGGTAGCTTAATCGTGTTTAGAACAACCCGGCCGGGAATGCGGAGGCGTCATACCCACAACCATAACATAATGACACGGCCATGATGGCCCGACCCACAACTCTGGAGTTATAGTCCAAGGTATCAACCTGTAAGAAGGCCAAAGAGTCCCCCACCCTCATGACAAAACGAAAGGAAATGACCGAACCACTCACATGTATCTAGCCGACAGCTGATTGGAGTCAGTTTTATTGAAGGGATGATTAATCACTGTGATACCTGTCAAAGAACAAAGCAATGTCCGTCAACACAAAGGTAGTAAGGAGCTTTCTTTAAAAATCCCGCTTCACTGTAATGAGGATGAGCTACCATATTGAACAAGGGGTAATTTGGGGTAATTGCTTTTTTTTTTTCTGCTTTACTATGATTAACTGTTTGTCTCCAAACGTCGTGCCGTACGCTAAACCAGTGAGAAACAAAACTAAACCCAATCGCGACTTAGTTACTTGAATTCGTTCACGCTTCAGACAGTTTGCCTATTTTATTCTGTTGGGTCCTCTTCATACTCTCCCTTGTTCCAATTGGCAGTTGCGATTCCTTTAGTGTTGGTTTGACAAAATTCAATCGAAATGCACAAAGTCAAAGGAGAGTTTTAGGAGACGGAGTATAACACCTGGAATAACGAAAAGTCGGAAATACAAATATGTAACAGAAAGCAATCTGTACAGAGATCCACGAATCAAAATTATTAATATTACAAACAGTGATCATTCCTCTAGAGACCTCCTAGAATCAGAATCTGTTAACATCGGTGTGTCTACGCACCATATGCTGCGGGATTTCCTTTCTCCTTTGCCAAAGAAGCCCGTAGAATGGCGTTGTTCATAACATTCAAGTAGGTTGGCATAGCATGGTAGCCCTTGTTATTGTACCACGCCTAAAAAAAAGTACGAAACAAACTGGGTGAGCATGCATTGCAAGTCTATAAGAAGAAACAAAAACAAATAAATGAACAAACCTTGACAGCCTCTCTAACAGCTAATCGTCTAACAGAGGCCATTTTAACTTTGTCCAACTTCTGAGGAACGAAACTAACAACTTCACCGAAGGACAGAGCACCATACCTACAGAAGAGAAACAGCCAAACATCGTTATGATGACAAAGAACTTTAAATTGCGAAAAATCATCCCAGACGCCTAGATCCCACACCGTGACATCCCGCTTGTAAGTCCCAAATTATTATTACCGACAATTCTGTTTCCCCTCGCCTTTCTCCATATTTAAATCCAATCAAAATGATATTCCTCCATAAGCATCCCTCCCCATTGGCCCCACGCCACTTCCCACACCCGCCTAAGTGTGCGTATCTTCAAAGAGACCGAGAAAGTCCGAAAAAAAAAACCAGAGTTCTATTAAACAGCTTGCGTTCATTACCTGTGGAGCCTAAATGTCTCCGTAGTATACAGTAGGTATTTTGAAATATTTCTTCCCGTAATGTTCTGTAATGTATCCAATGTAATGGTGATCAGTTCCTTAGGATACCGCCCGGCCGCTCCTCGGTCACACACATACGCCGTCCTGTTAGGGGAACACCGGCATCCCCTACCCGTGTCCTTGTGGGTCACTGCATGGGACACATTGGACCCGTTTGTGTAAATGTACTCCAAGTTAAGGTTGGACGGTTTGAAATAATCCTGAGAAACTTTGTTTATCGAGACCGAACACGAATGATTGAACAAATGGGCTAAACTCTCCTTAGAAGGTTTAATGTTTGTGGTCGTCAGGTTGATCGAATGCAGACAACAAGTCGCTCCCACCCCAGAGAGGAGAGTCAATGTTTTGTCCAGTCGCGACGCCAAGCGGTTCACTCCCTTAGCCTCATTCGCAAACGGGATGTAGTTTGGCCGCGGGAACATGGACGGAGTTAATTCCAATGGAGGCTGATCCGGGGACTTGGGAAACGAAAGAGCCATCACCATAGCAATGGTGATAAAAATGGCAGGTAAAAGGATTTGAGAGATGACTCCTTTGAAGTTTCGACGAGCATGGTGGAAACGTTTTATTAACAGCGCGTAGAACTGCTGCAGTTTTAGGGGAGCACCAGTGAGTGTACGAGAACCAATACCTTGGAATGCTGCGTTCAACGGCGTGTGATCAGCTAGGAGAAAATAGTATAAAAGCCTAAGAAATCGCTTATAATAGCCTAGGATTCCGACGCTCGGTTCAGAAAGATTGGGATAATGCATCAAGTCTAATTATACTAGGTCAAATAATTTTCCAAGAAGAATATATTTGAAAGGAAAACGAAGTTTCACAAGGGTAAATCTCTTCTTTTTTTTTTTGGTTGATATTTTCGCTAAATACTCTTCTGGCATGACAACTGCACCTAATCGTGATCAGTATGTAAAAGAATTATCTTTTTTAAAAAAAAAAAAAAAAACACTTCTAAAGCTGACAGATCCTTATACGTCCACGATCTATGAACACCGCCACTCTGAATAGCGCATCACAATATCCCAACGCCCCCTAGCCAATCACAGCACTTCTTCCGTCTCAAGCAGTTTAAACATGTACTTACGATATTGATAGCCGGCCTCTTCTTGAATCTCTGGGCTTAACAGTTGTTCTCTCGCATTATACCGAACTCCTGAAAAGTCGCCGAGTTCAATCTCTCCTTCCCTCAGTAAATCTTCTTCCCACTCGTCCCCTAGTCTCGAGGGTTCGCCGCTGAGCATAGTGCTAGAAGACTCAGCATGGTTTGAGGAGTTTTCAAGGTTTGAAGAATTGAGTTCTTCTGTCGGGTGCAAAATCACGTTTTGTTATATTTATGCTGGTTTAGACGTCTAGATGTTTAATCAGCCTAAGACCCAAATCTTTTGCTTGAACTAAACCACAATTTCGAAACGTGGAACGAAACGACCTGGAGTATTGTCTCTCGCTCTGGTTTGGATATTACTGTATATCCCGAGCAGTCTTACAGTATCTTTGAAAGGTTTGTGAAGGAAGTATTGCATTCTGGGTTCAAAAGCCTAAGACGATACAATAGAGCTATAATTTCACTCCCATTAAAATTATGGACACAACAATAGTTAAACTCCTCGTTCACCAAAGCGGCCTTAAATGGACTCTTTCAGTCTGATTCTCTGATACTTCTTGCAAAAGTGTTAATAGATTTAATTTGTATTTGTGGTGAATAGAAGAGATCTTATCTTACTTCGAATCTGTCATTGCGAAAGTGTGCGAAATCTGTCTGCGGTAAATTTTGGGCTGTTAGCATTCACTATCGAAGGAGCTCTTCGCAAATCTATAAATTGTCTTACCTGATTCATCTCGCGATGAAATGTCGGTTACCTTCAAGAAAACCTGCGGCAAAACAACAAGAAAAAGCATCAACAAAAGTAGGAGGAAGCTTTTTCTTCGAACTTAACAGAATGTAGACTACGAGAAGTTTCCCTGTTCCAGCGTAATCCAACTTTCTAGCCAGAAGAAACTGATAGGCAGATAAAGTGCCGCGATTGTTTCGAACCAACTACTCCTAAGTTAGGGTTAGGGTTAGGAACGGAAACCAATAGACTACGTTCATGTACTTCTTTCCTCAATGGGCCAAAAATTGTTCTAACAGAAAAAGTACTTTTGAGCTACATAATTAGATATCTGGAGGTTTCGCCCCATTGCAAGGTCACTCCCTACCTTCCTTTCCGGGTCACTCTCTGAAGTAAAACGGGTTCACCCCTACCTTAACAGTTCGCCCTAAGTGTTTCAACTCGTTGCCTTATGGTAGAACATTTTCCTTTTCTGTCGAAATCATAATATTTTGATTAACATGCATTTTTTTTTCTGTATCAAACGCTAGATAACGAAGGCATGCTGAAGTGGGGGCGAACAAGTAAAAGGTGGGGACGAACTTGCCTTACTGTAGGGGCGAACTCGAAAAGGTGGTGGGGCGAAATTGTAATTCATAAACCCTAATTAAACTTAGCAAACAATTTGATAAAATTAATTTTTTTTCTAAAAATACCTCCTCAAGCGCAGTGTCAGTCAGTCCAAAACTATCAACCCCCAGCTCAGATTGTTTCTTCTCCAAGTCACTGAATAAAATTTCAAATCCTCCTCGTTTGACGGAGTTGTCAGGAAGGATAAAGGTGAGTTCCTGTTGAGTGTTCTGTTCTAGCCTGGCTGCTGGCACGTGAGACTTGATGAAGTTTGTCAGCTTCTTCACCTGGTCTTCACTACTGCTCAAATGATCTGTGATTCACAAAGGTTCCAAGATCAGTGTCTAGATGAATTTTGCTCAGTAAGATTAGTCTTCGGTAAGTCTAAATTGGGCGGCTGGAATGGCGTAGCGGCGAGTTCGCCCGTCTTACAATGATGAGTTCTGAATTTAAACGTTACACTTACCAGAATGAAGAGTACTATTACTTGATCTTGTTTCGCTCGTTTCCAGTTCATTGCTGGATTCCGAGGGTGTCATGTGAATATTCACTATCGACCCCTGGGGAGTTCTGTCACGCTTCTTAACCAGAGTAAGATGGTAACCATCTCCAAAGTGACTCTTCAAGAAAAGCGGTGAGCCTACACAGCGGAGCTTCCCGTTGGAAATGATAGCGATGCGATCTCCTAACAAGTCTGCCTCGTCCATAAAGTGCGTGGACAGTAAGATAGTTCGACCTGGAAACAACCACGTTCACATTTTAAACGTTCTTTTACGTTCTTGGGCAAGAGAGGATCAAGCTGAGAGACCTTAGCACGCATTGCAGTCTTTTTAAGAACGCGATCTATAGATTGTTGTTTTTAGAAGCAAATGACATGGTTCACAAGTACCCTGCTTTAAATGACGTAGGAGTAGATGGGTGTGGAATGCTCACGTGAGCTCAATACTGAAACAGGATTCGTTACTTGTTCATCCTTCTGGAATCCATGAAAAGAATAAATGATCTAAAATAACTTGGGGAGGATAACTTTCAGAAAAGATGCACTTGAGGAATGCCAGTCTCTTAGCTTAATCCTCTTTAGACTCAGTCCTCTCTCGCCTTCGGAAACCCGACAACTTCCAGACTACAAAAGCGTTCGATTATCCCGCTAAACGGAAACCTTCGAAACAACCTGTAACATTGATAGGAAGAATTAAAGGCTGTGACAATATAATCATTTCATAAGAACCCCAAGCACCGTGTGGTTTGTCTAATGCCACATGACGAACCTGTGACCTACGTCAGTTAGTAGTGGATTGAGGTCTCTGATGCAACCTTTCACCGATGTGAGCAAAACTGAATTTTCAATCTCAGTAATTCTTTCCATCCGCTAACCTTTCTTGTACTTAATTAAAAGGTCCCATATGGCCCTCCTAGCGTAAGGATCCACACCAGCAGTGGGCTCATCTAAGATAATAGTTCTTGACCCTGCTGCAAAGGCCATGGCCACGGAGAGCTTTCTCTTCATGCCTCCACTCAGGGTCTCCACGGCGCAGTGGCGTTTAGTGGGCAGTCCAACGTCCATAACAAGCCTGTTAAATAATGGTAATTGAACTTCGTATTGTGCAATTTGGTCCGAGATCATACGCGTGATTTCAAAATCAAACGAATGTACAGGGCGAGTTTGTTTGAAATCACAAGTATGATTTCAGACCAAAATGCATGACACGAAGTTCAATCATCATTTCCCTACATCTATTATGAAATCGCTAAATTCAGTCGCTCAACGCAATTTTTTATCTAGTCTGTACAAATTTTTGGTTGATCTAGTATATAAGATGCGATTTATAGCATGACATGGTGCAATTTGTGATTAAATCGCATCGGTGAGAGCCAATCAGATTGCAAGGATCACAAGTGATTTCAAAATGGATGTAACTAGGTAAGGGAAGAGGTCAATTAACATATCCTCTCTGAGCTTAAACCTATTTTTATAACTAAGCGTCGTGGAGTAATACAGCTCTTCTTTCTAGTCCGCCACTGATAACCCCTTTCGTCAGATCTCCCAGACAGCTTGCTGGTACCCGTATAAAAGAAAGTTTTTACAAGCCATAAAAAACAAGGAGACCTAAGTTACAGCTGTAAGTATGAGAAATATACGGCGGTTTTAAGGGCGCTTTACGCTAAGCTTAGTGCTAATACGTGAGGCAAGTACGTTTCGAAAAAGAGGCGCGAGTACACTACAATAAAAATATTTTGAGAGCGATAAGTTATAAGTTGTTCTAATTTCGGTGTTTCTCTGGCAACATCTTCTTGCTCATTGCAGCGTTCTAAAGTTATAACAGAGGAACTTATTTACTTACTGATCCATCTCTCGTTGGACATCTTGCTCTGGCATTCCTTTAAGTCTTGCATAGAACCACAAATGCTCATCCACTGTCATCCTGTATATCAAAAAAAAAAAGGAAACGAAGACAAAATATCGACTACAATTCCACAATTGTTCACCTCTGAGTCAGTGTTGGTGAATAACGGGGAATAGCACTAAGCACATTTGGACCAATAAAAAGTAGCATTTTTCAAACTGAAAATTCTCGTTCCTCATTCCCAAAATTTTACGTGCACCCAGACGGAATATGACAACTCTTTCCTACTATTCTACAAGATGAGAAAGGAAAGCAGGAAACTGCTTTTTTTTTCTACCCCGCATTAAGACCAGCAAAGTAATAAATATTATAATATCTTATTAGACGTTTTGTTGTGTAGTATCGCTGAGTATTTTTTCGAGTTATGCCGTCTTTTGACGTGCCCGTAAGGCGAGTCAAAATACAAACAACTCGTAAAAATACTCCGCAATAATACACAACAAAACGTCTAATTAGAGATTTATTATCCAACACGCCACATTGTTATTTCAGTGCGGGCGAATTTCGCGGACATTTCTGGAGTACAAATATCACGCGATATTTGTACTCGTCTCGCGCGTTATTTGTACTCTACGAAGCAAAACTGGATAATTAATAAGGAAAGTAACTCTGTGATTTTCGCTTGTGATTCTGAATCGGGAAAAACACAAGAAATCCGTGTTGTTCTTCAATTTTCTCGTTAACATTGTAAATTCAATCTCAAAAAACAGCAATTGTGTACAAATCTGGCCTTCCAATACACATCTTGTCCACAAACCTGTCAAACAAAACATTGTGCTGCGGACACATTCCCAGGCTCCGCCGGATCTTATCCATGTCATTTCTGATGTCACAGCCATAGACGTAGGCAGTGCCAGCAGTAGGCGGGAACAAACCTGTCAAGATTGACATGGTCGTCGTTTTCCCTGCTCCATTGTGGCCGAGGAAAGAAGTAATTTGTCCTTCGTAAAGATTCAATGTTAGTCCGTCAACCGCCAGTTTTTTTCCCTCTTTGTAAACCTGTAAAGGGAGTTGAATTAATTGATGACAACGGTACAAAAACAAGACAGTTCGCACATTGATTGCTAACATTTGTTGTGAGGTGAATTGAAAGTTGTTGTTTTGAGACTTTTCTAGTTAAGCCTTTTATTTTGTTAATCTTTGCCTGTTGCGCCTACGTGTTGTTTCGGTAGATTTGTGTTTTTTTTTTTGGCTCAGCTCACGGATTTCCTTGTTACCGTGTTAGACATTTAGACAATTAGACAGTTTCACTGGTGGTCGTGTTTGCGTTGGTAAAGCTGACATTGAGTTCTACCCACAAAGTTCCTGTTTGTGTGCGCAATTCTTGTGCGCAGCTGTTAGCGCTCAATTGGTTTCTGTGCGCAATTCCTGTGCGCAGCTGTTAACGTTTAATTGGTTCCGTGGTGCTTGCCACGTACTTCGGTGAGGGCCAACCAGTTTCCCCCTTTTTGCAAAATAAACGGATACACTGTGGAAATTCTCACGGTCAGCTAACCCAAACACGTCTACAGTTTTCCTACTTAAAGCGTTAGTACCTCTCGCATGATTATTGGATGCGTAGAGCATTAGATGCACAGAGTATTAGATGCATGAAGCGTTGCTGTAGTAGCTCTCCAGAAGAGAATAAAAGAAGAAAAGTACAGAGTCTTAGCACCTTTCTTTAATTCGTCCAAGCGAGCCGTAAACCCCCCCCCCCCAACACATTTGTACGCAATTTAGGAGAGTAAATTCTTGGTTCACTCGTGAGGCAGAAAAGATCCAAAATTCCAAACCCAAAATCGAACAGTACATCGTTTTAATATTTCATTCCCTAGGGGCTACTGAACTCTTAAAAAATCAATTTCTATTTTTCTAAGGTCAGTTACACAAAACTAGTCTATCCCACGTGGAGAAGCCAGCAATGAACTTAATGTAAAAAACTCCGTAACAGTCTTGCACTATTACACGGCAGGAAAGTGCCCCGTCACGTACGTCATGGGAACTTGTCGAAACTTGACGAAATGTGCAGAAGTGAGTATGTGTTGTTCACAGTGCAAATTAGCAAATATTCTCAAGTGACTTGACCCACTTTAAACACCTGAATTGGCAAAAGCAAAAAGACACGACAAGACCACATTCCACATACCTTAACAAGGTTTTCTATTGTGACACCCAGTGACAGGTGAATAGGTTCTCTCTCGTATGCCAACAATCCATCCGCCTGAGGTGCATCCTCCAGCTCATCCGCTGTCATCATTTGAAATGTTTGACGGCTCATCTTAGGACAAGCCTGCGTGTTGTGACCAAACCAGTAAGAAGGCTGACAGACAAAGTACCAGGGCCGTGGAAGGCCGTACGAGCCTGGGTGAACAGCCTCTATATACCACACCATTATGGCATATATCACAGCGTCCATCAACATGCAGTTCAAAACTGTCAGCAGGTTGAAATCATCTCCTTTGATCTGGGATAAAATACAGGAGAGAATGACATTAATTTCTAACTCAGAATACCTGGGGTTAATTTTATAAATCAGTATTGTGTAAAGAGAAGAATACTGAGAACAAAGATGTCGAAGATTGTCCAGCGAAAGGAAAGTAATAGTAGAACAAAGACATAAAAAAAGGGAAAAAAAGTGCAAATGAACCCGTCAGTCTTAAAAGTTACGTATAAATTGCACCGCCATAAGAGCTATCCCTTTCAGTGCAGAATGTCTTGTTTTAAAACAAATTCCTCCTTCATCGGCTTCATTCCTACACGTGGATCCGAGGGTCGATGTGCGTCTTTGGAAGTGGAATGCAAATTTATCAATTGCAGCGGGTTTTTTCGACTTGAGGTTCAGAGTGATGGATGAAATTACTACATGGTAGTCCCAATACGAAAAAGTTTTGAATGAGCATTACCAGACTGAAACACGAACGTCCAAGGACACTTTGTGGTGAAGATGCCGACAAAATGACTTAATACTTGATTAAAGAAAGCTATGTTATGTAATAAATAGGGAACCTGATCCTAGCTAAACTATTTCATGTGAAACATATAGGAATCTTCCCTAAGCTATGATGAGTAACACATACGGGACTCTTTCCGAATCTATGCTATGTAAAATGTACGAGAATCTTTCCCGCGTCTTAGTTATATAATACATACGGGACTCTTTCCTAGATTGGACCACTGCACTCCGACTCCTTCCTCTTCGTATATGGCAAAGTACCTCGCTCCCAGTCCGAAAGCTGAGGTGGAGAGCAAACTAGCGGCCATTTTCTCTTTGCCGGACACGTTCACAAAACCAGCCTCCTCTCGGATGGAGATAAACACATAAGGAAGATAGGTCAAGAAATATATTATCCCGCCGCAAGCAGACGCTAGCTTTGCTTTGGAAAAAAACACGGAGATGAGAAAGCAGAATATAATGGTCACCACTGCAAACGTCATGAGAAACAACCAGATAATAACAGGATCGCTGTAGTACAAAACCTTGCCATACTGTGGACATAACAAGAGTACACATTAGTATCCCTGTGGCCCGGTGGGAATGACTTCATTTAATACAAGAGGTAACTGGGGTAAGCAAATTTTCGACTGGTTAAACATAATAATAACATCCTCAGATGCAATGCAGCAATGATTTTGCTGAATTGCATTAGACCTGAGGAGGGCCCATAAACATCAATCCCCCGAAAAGTTTGAAAATTTGAACCCATGCGAGTGTCATTTGGTGAATTTTGGAAGACTTTCGAGGAAACATTTTATACTACTTTCAAGCTATCTACAATCTTAAAGCCAGTTTTTTTTCTTCTTCTTCTTCTTCTTTTATTTACATCATCGTATAGCTTCTCGCAGCTAGACACAGTACAATGGTCCTTTTCATTACGACGACCAATAGGAACAAAGGGATAGATCAAAATTAGCCACTGCCAGCCAAGATTTAAAACAAGTCAACTGTAACCTGATTTATGCGCGGGAAAACGCAAGTTCCCATGCTGCGATTGTGTTTTGCTGTAAAATCTGGAAACCAGTGCTCTATGCTGTGGGAAAAACAAAGAGGAAGGCATGTAACGCCACTTACCTTGAGAATTATTACCAGAAGAGAGACAGTGATGGACATGACACAGAGTGAGGTGATAAACCAGGCCACCCAATGCACAGCATTAGACAGACCCATCATCTTCATCACCTCCTTCAGGCGCTGTTCTTTCTCGTACACAATGGCTTGTACAGCCAGAGCTACGGTGTAAATCCACGACACTGTCATACACAGAGGCATCATGTGCTCGATGATGAACATAAAACTAGAAAAGAAAGAACACAAGCAACAAAATTTGATGGAGAGTTTATCACGATTTGAAGTTTTAAAGAGACATATAGGACAACTATAGGACATAGTTCTATATTTTTTCTATGTTACATCTACTGCATAAGCAACTGTAACGACAAATAAATTATTAGAAAGATGGTGAATTGTAAGCTCGGTAAAGAAGAACAATTTTCTTTTCTTGTCATGAATATGGGACAAAGAAAAGGAATTCCAAAAAGGAATCGGACCTCAAACCCTCGGGTTTCGCGCTTAGTCGCTCCACCACTACGCCACTGAAACTTAATGGTTCATATGTGACCTGCGTCCCGCATACAGTTAGGATCAGCGGAGTCGAAAGCCTCGCGTGAGTTAAACCCGATTCCTCTTGAAGATTCAAAATCTTTTCTTTGTCTTGACGCTCGTGACAAGACAAATTCTTACTTGTCTTTAACATAGCAAGGATACGGCATCTCGTGCAGGTAGACAGCCGGTTTGACAACTTCTCGCCCGGCATGCAGATCAATAATAGCCCTCTCAATCTGGTCCTGAAGCCAGGTAAATCCCAAGTCATAGTAACGCTGTTTCCAGCTCTGAGGCCCCGGCATCCAGTAGCGATCACGGATGCTGTCGGTCGCGGGCGTGAAATATGAAGCATTCATCCGAATTTTGTATTTAACGTGAGGAGGCAGGCTGGAATTCACCTTTATGTTCAGGAACACGATCCCTGGAAGTAGAAAGATGGTTTAATACTTCTTATTTAACTGCACAAGTGTTTAACCCCTTACACCCTGACATCAGTATGCATATTCTCTACACGGTTCTAGATATTTTTCTATGGAGCTCAGTGAGGAGGAGAATTTGTAAGAGCCTATCTAGATGGCGATCAATTAATTTATTCTCGTGACCTTAATGTGATTTATTCAGCAGTGACACTGCGTAGAGAGAAAATTAAATGTGAGTGACTCACAGGGATTTAAGGGTTAAAAGCCCACGAAAAGTCAAATATCAAATTCGAAATAAGCTCCACGTTTTCTTATTAAGTTTGTAATAGGCTTTATTTATTTATAGAGGGTAGCACTCAATAGCTAGAAGCTAATGAAATTGTGGCCCTCAGAACACCCACCTATACCACTCCAGGGGAGGACATCCATCACACAGTAATCTCGTGCGTGGGAAATTAACGTCTCCTACCCCTAACCCTGCAGGAGACAGGACCTACGGTTTATTCGTCCTTATCCGAGACGACTAGAATACCTATCCATTTCTTTATATTATAGAAAAGTAGCAAATCCTCCTCAGTTTTTTTAAAACCATGAGTATTGGTCCGGCCGGGGCTCGAATCCTCGACCTCTCGCACAACACAAGAAAACGTATGAGCTGAACTAACCTGCAACGACTTTAGAAGTGTCTCCATTCTTGGAGTTATTAATATTTAGGGCAAAATTCAGCAGAGATCTCTCATCTTTGAAACCTTTGAAGATGTTAAGGTTGAGATGTGAAGCCATTTCCAACCACAGGCGAGCCACACTGTCAATAGCGTCGAGTTGAGTGATCAATGGGTTTGTGTTATCGCAACTGCGGGTTAACAGCTCATCAAGTCCTTTGTACTGTCTGGAAAGTCAGATACATAAAATTTATTACATGAATGTAATGCAACTGAAGTTTTCTTGAGTCGTTCACGGCTCAAAATTCAGTCCAAAGGTGAGAGTAAAGAAAGAATTAGAACAACGTCTATGATAACGGAAATCAGCAGAACCGAGTTTTTCCAGTCGTAGCAGTACCATAAATATCATTCAAATAGAGTATATTCTTATTTTGGTTTTATCAACTGAGTTCATAAAGTTAATTGGCCTCGGTAAAGAGTTTTAAAGCTGACGTTTCGAGCGTCAGCCCTTCGTCAGAACGTTAGCCCTTCGCTCTGACGAAGGGCTAACGCTAGAAACGTGAGCTTTGAACCTCTTGACGGTGGCCAACTTACATTATCAACTCAGTTGAAAAAAACCAAAATTACCTTGTTACTCCCACCGACTTAGCACCACAGTTTCTTTAAAAACTTACCCCCTTTAGAGCTATTGTAGTCGTGATATATGAAATGAAAACATCTTCAAAGGTTGTGTTCAAGAGTATACACAGTTAATGTTTGGAAGGCCTCTTTGATTATAATCACCTGAAGTTGTCACTAGGTTTATGCCCTGTAAGGTTGTAAGCCTTGTTGTCATATCGTTGAAGACATTTATGTTGGTTGTTCAACATAAGTCCTAGGTAGTACTGCGAGTTATTTTGCCGTAACACGCCGCGAATCCTTTTCGACGTGTTCAACCATTGCTCGGCTAGATGTATCAGTTTTTCTATGTCTGAAAATGTTCTGTTTGCCTGTGAAAATAGAACATGAATGGTACGTGATTTCAAGAAGTAATCTCAATTTTTCGATGATCAGATGAAAAATAATCTAACGTTAAAACACATTTGTTTCTATGCGACCTTCACATCCGTCTCGTAAAGAAAGCCCATATCCATTTCATATATAAAGAAAAAGGAAAAATAAATTGATTTCGAACAGTGTGAACGCTAAGAAATAGATGTCTATATCTACTCAATCAAAGGGTAAGAGTTAAATTTTACCATTTGGTTCCTTATATTTTCTGGAATTCATGTAGTTTTCCTGAGGTTTTTGTCCTAGTAGTGTAATGCTTAACCTCCTCTCTCTTTCCCAGCGATTTTATTCTTCATTTTTCCTATAAAGATCGCTACAGTATCCATTTCTACTCTAGGGCCCAGTTGCATGTTCAAGGAGCGGATAACGCTATCCAACGAATAAACCGCCATTCAGCGGATAAGTGTTAACAAAACAAACTGCGCTATCCACCGAATAGAGATTTATCCAGTTGATAATGTTACTCGTCCTTCTAACAACCAGAGCCTTGTTAAATAGAGGAACTGCCGGTAAGATTTTGAGGAATTACCAAATACACGGACAACGAACATCCCTCAGTCATCAATCTCGAGGGCGAAGAGGCTGGATCTTTCAATCCGGGTGCAACGGGCTAATTACTCGGCTATCGCCTCTCTCACACGATAGCGCCTAAAAATACTGCGTTCCCCAGCAAAACAACACAGGGCCTGCGAGCAAGCTCTCATAATATGAGCGCTGCTTTAGCCTTTTACACCCAAGTTCCTCACACTGTTCTTCATATATTTCTTATGGTACGAACAAGCAGAATTAATTTTGTCTAACAATCGGGAGCTTGTTAAACTTGCGATCATGTTTGATTCAGGGGTGATACCCCTAGAAGAAATTAGATGCTTATCATTCTTATGGGTTACAGTATTAAGAGCATCTTCACGAGCAGCGCTTCCTTGCATGCTAAACAGAAAAAGCCACAGATAGTGTCGAGTCACCTTTTCGATGATTGTATCAGCCGCAGTACCATTAGGGGAGTACAGTATTTTCGGATTGTGAAGCAAGAGGTACAGCATGAGACGCATGGCTCGGGTTTTACAAGCCTTGGTACGGCAACGGTAATCATACATGTGGTCTATCACTTTCTTTTCGGGTTGAGCATCAGGATCTGGGCCGCAGATGATTGGGCCGAGATTCTTCCACATCTCTCGTAGGTAAATTTTGTTCTTCTCCCACCTGGTCTTGTTTTGGAGATGATGTGTGAAGGAGAGATTGACACGCAACAACTGCGCAAGCTCCACTCCCTCTTGTACCAAGTGCACAAACTCGGTCAAATTCTTCAACTGAAAATTGAAACACACCGAGATGAAAAACACAATGTTTTACAAGCAGGACTGCACATATTGCTGAATGAAGAGTTTTGCATGCCCACAAAGTTTGGTTTTGTTCAAAAGATATCGAATTCATACCAAATGGAACAGTTTTTAATCGAGTGTCGAAGACCAAAACCACTGTAACAGTAATAAAAGCGACCAATCATAACAAACAAAATAAAGCATTATCAGTAGTCAATGAGAACTCGGAGTGAGAACGAGCAAACTGCTTGAAGCGGGGTAAAATGCAGTTTTGTATCTTAGTCTCTTAAGTGATTAAGAGAAAAGCTACCAACAAAAAATCTCACTCAGCATCTCAATTTGACCTCAAAGATCAAATTTTTAAATTGAAGACAGAGCACACACAGCCTCTGTTATAGCATTCCATGTGTTGTTGTTGTTGTTTTTTTTTTCCTGACATCTTTCTGAGCTATCAAGAAAAGACAATATTTTTGGCTTTAGCTTCCAGGCAAATCTTAACCCAAGACTTTGGAATTATAACTTCAGGTTACAACATGAATTCAACTGTTTGAAAAAAAAAAATACTCTTTTCAAACTTATAAATAAAAGATTCAACTACTTCTTGAGACAATCAAGTAACAATTTCTGACAAGAATAAACCTTACATCTCCTTGCAGTTTTGTGTATGACTTGTTGTAATCCTTCAGGTCTTCACGGGTTACATTAAGCTAAAAGGTAAAACCATCACATTACATTCAATTTGGTATACATCATAAATGACTGATTTCACTGTTCATCAATATTACATTTAAAGTAATTGACAAAATGAAACATTGACTGGAGTTAACTTTTTAATGTAAAACATTTATTAACTCACCATTAATAATATATTTTTTTTAATAACAATCATCTTAATCATATGACTCATCCAGCCCAGCACTCACACAATCTCATAGAAAACCATAGTGAAAGCTGATGTGAGTGGGGCCAAACAGGTTAATATGAGCCAGGAAGGGAAGCCCACCTTCTGCATAACAGCTGTGTGGTCCACATGATGCTGAAGATAGCCAGCTAGCAGCTGTGCCTGCAGTGGTGTTAGGTGACATAACTGTTCAAGTGCTTTCTAAAAACAACCAAATATATCAGGTTATTTAAAAGGGAGCAACTTCAGAATACCCCTCCACATCATTTACATATGTCTGGAGGCTTTGAAGAATGAGGCATAACTCAATAGATGCTATTCTTATTCAATGACATGGAAATGATGTGGCCTGGTATTCTGAAGTTTAGCCTTTAAAAGTCATAGTTGTAGTAAGTAGGATAAATATTGTAAGAAATATACAACTTTCTTTAGAGACAGTCATGTTTCGGCATGCTTATGCCATCTTCAATCAATGAGTAACTGAATGCGAGTAATTATATAACAGACAAGTAGATGAATAAAATATTTTCAGTATGATGTAATACAAAAGCGGGTACTAATTACAGCGTGACAACAAACATGAAATTAAAGGTGTGAACTAAAATGCTAGAAAAGAAGTTTTTTATAAAAATAAGATCAAACCTGAGTTTAACAAACAATTACAGCATTATAACACTTTTCTAGCATTTTAGTTCACACCTTTAATTTCATGTTTGTTGTCACGCTGTAATTAGTACCCGCTTTTGTATTACATCATACAGTAACTGTAAATATTTTATTCATCTACTTTTCTGTTATATAATTACTCACGTTCAGTTACTCATTGATTGAAGATGGCATATAGGCATGCCAAAACATGTCTCTACAAAAAGTTGTATATTTCTTACATTATTTTAAAGTACTGAGTAATTCTACTTGCAAGCTATTGCTATGCTTGTTTGTCAAGCAAAAAGACATTTTCATGTAACATAGCTTAATTAAAACTTTTTCCACACATCCCACCCCCTCACAAAGTTTAATTCTGAATTGGTATAAAGTATACCTTCAACAGATTACTTTTATTCATTGGCAGCCTCACTTTTTTGCAAGGAACAAAGGAAGAGCAATAAGAAAGGGGAAGAAGAAGAACCTGAAAGGCATGTCATCCCATCTGATAAAAATAAAAAATTATTAAAGGGATGTTTAATTCAAACACCCACATAACCTGGACAAAGATTATTAATTGTAACCTCAAGGTAAACTTTTCTACAAAAAATGCCATACATTTTGCAATTATGTTCAAAAATGCATACAGTCACAAAATAGGCAGGTTTGATGAGGTTTCGTCAAACCAAGTGAATGTTCATGGATTTGACAATGTTGGCAAATTTTTTGGAAATTCGTCAAAGTGAAATTAGCTCGGCAGCTTTAATGATTTGACAAAATTTCATTGAATCTACCATTTTCATTACTACATGCATTTCTGGACGAGTTTGCAGCATATAGTGTATGTCATACTGATCATCATTTCTTTCTTCCCAACTGTGAGGAAAAGGGAGCATGTAAACATCAATTCTTAAAAGCACAAGTTATATACCTTTTGATTGGAACTTTTGAGTATCAACACTTTCTCAAGCTCAGTAGTATTACATGACGAAGCATTCAGTGGCATGTTAGGGGAATCAGAAGACTAAGTGAGAGAAGCAACATGAAAACATCAGATATATGTGAGTAAATATGCTGGGTGGCTAAGTAGTTGACTCACCCACTGACACTGACTCAGGGACAGTTGAGTGATTGGTCCCTGACTCACTGCCTCACTGCCCGCTCACTCACTAACTGATTGCTTAACTTACTGTCCAACTGACTGACTGTGACCCACTGACATACTCAATTTCAGACTCACACACAATAAATTAACTGACAAATGGCTGACTGATTGAATGGCCAACTGATCTCAATCAACTTATTTGCTAATTGACTCGCTGAGTGCTTATCAATGACTGGAAGAAAGATTGACTTCCTGACTGACTGACTGACTGACTGACTGGATGGATTGTTTAAAAATGATGGATTGACCAATTGCAGATTACAAAGTTACTTACAGCTGCATATGGACGGGCAGATGGCATTGTAAAAGGATTCATAAGCTTGCTCGTAGTACCGAACAGAAGGAGACTAATAAGGCCTGGTCCAGAAGGAGGTTTGAGCGGTAAGAATCCACTGTTACTGTACTTGGAATTGTTGTATAGTTGAAGTGACTGCTTGAAAAGCTCCTTTCTATGAGTACTGATGAAGTTTGCCAGCTGTAAAGTCAAACATGCACATGATCAATAAATAACACTTCTGCAATGTGAGATTTAGGTGGACTTGAGGGCTGAAAATGTGTTTTACACTATGCTCCCTGAAGAGATTAACATTTATCGAATAACTTTTCCCTAAAATATCTAATATACATACAGGTAATGAAAATACTCAAACTTATCATGCAGGTGAAGGTTATTATAATCTTGATCTAATACCAAATAATTATCATTATTAAAAGCTACATCATTGGATAATGCAATTCAAGACTTTTTATTGGCATAGCCATTATGGTATATCAGCCAATATACCATAATCTGCAAATATGACAAGCATACATGTCAGCTTAAAATTGAAAGGGAGCTAAAAATTTAATAGAATTTAATAACTTAACATTTTTAATAAAACAATTATTCCACTCGCTCTTGTTGGATATGAGATGATTATAGCCAACTCGGCGCTATGCGCCTAGTTGGCTATCTATCATCTCATATCCAACGCGCGTTCATGGAATAATTGTTAATTAGTTATCTACAAAGAAATATACACAGCAACTTGAAAAGAACCCACCTCTCTTGAATTAACTGTTGTGTTAAGTAACCCTTCTGCCACTGTTGGTGCGATAGACATGTTCTGCATCAACTGCTGAATTACATCTGGATCAGTAAGAATTTCCCTTACTGTGAAGTCTACAAGGCACAAAAGGAAAAAACTGTTACTTTAATTTATGACAAGTGTACTCAGTTGATTAATCAGAGCAATCCTAACCATTGATATGACTTGTACTCTTGATTACAAATTTATAATTGCTCAAATTGATGATGATAGATTTTTTTCCTTCAATCCAACATTAAAGTGGAGTCTTCAAATGGTATTGATCAAGTTGTTTATTCTTGCATGGATTGAAACCTTGCTATTATTATTATTATTATTATTATTAATTTGTTTGCAATTGTTCTAATAAAAGAAACTTTGTTCAGACCTTGTCTTACTAGTTCAAGGTAAAATTTAATCAATACAGTTGTCCAGTAATGAATGAAGGTACTCACTATCAACATTCTGAGCATGTGAAATTAGCTTTTTGAGGTTCTTCTGAAAGTTTTCATAATCCTGAGGCAGTGTTTTCAAGTCATCTGCAGTGGACAGACCAGGAGATGAGAGAATTTCTGCAATATGATCCAGAACAGCACCAATACTGAAAGAAAACAAAAGCAACCCATAGAGAAAATAGTAAGAAAAGTAATATGTAATTTGCATATAACCTTCTGCTTTTACTGTTTTCTCTCCTGAGACCTTTATTCTTAACAGCTAACAGCTAAATTTAGCATAAAACCAACATTAAACTGGTATGGATAATTCTTGTTAGTGGGAAGTTTAATTCAGTTTGAGTTCATCCCAGTTTCAGTGGTGTGAGATGACCAGGAGTATGGGCACTACTCCTCCCTGGATAGATTATGACTCTACAAGCGAAGTCTACCACAGAATAACCCCTCCCCCACCCTTTGTCAGACATCCCTTACAATTTTCCAGTACCTATATTCACCATCATGGACAGACAGGAATTGTGAAAGAAGAAAGCCTTGTTCAAGGTTATTGTGTAAATAACTAGTCTGTGGACATTGGCTCACACTCAGATCATTTGACCTAGAGTAGAGTGCACTACCCACAAAACCACTATATTTATTTAATAACTTGTGATATGTGCCTTAGGTGCTAAGCTACCAGTAAGGCTTGCCTTAATAAAAATGACATTATTGTTAAGGGAGATGTCAATACAGATTACAACTTAAAAGTCATTGTTTATCCCTGGAGGGACTCTTTTAAAAAAGTGCCAGAATTATTTCTTGGAAATTATACAATTTGTCTATCCATGTAGATGATACAGAAGGAGTAGGAAACATAGTCGCTCAATTATCAGTGCACTAAAATTTAGATTAAAAGCTTGGGTTTTAAAGGCCTAATGGGTATAGTCAGGTTGTTATACATGTCAAGGCCGTGTTCTAAGAAAAAGTGACCCACTGCTCTCAAACTTTGAAATCCAGGGTGCCTAGCATATGTTTTTATGTGAGAAAAACTAAAATTTCCAAGTTGCCCCAGAGTGAAATTAAGGTGCCAGGGGCCACCAGGCGCTGCTAGACTACAGCCCTGCATGTGCTTTTGAGAAGGACACTTTACTCTTACATTCCCTTAGAGTGACCATAATCTAATTTCTCCTTCTAGCAATACTGCTGAATTATTCACTGAGATCAGGAGAATAAAGAAAATGATTGTTAACTTAAGAAGATTAGATTGTTAAACAAATTCTCCTGGTCAGTATTAAAAGAAACATATATAAAAGGGTATAAAGAATATGGATATTGATATTTGGGTGTAAATGGTTGACACCCTGTAATCTGTAACAGGCTAGTGCGGTGTCCAAAGGACACTTCATACATATACTGTACAAAGTCATGTACCTTGCATTGGGATGTAATGGGAAGCCATGCTCATCTTTATCTCTATTATTACAAAACTGCTGAAGCAGAGGGATGATTCCTGATGAAGGAAGGGCTCTTACTGGAAATACCTCTGTATAGAAAAAAATACACACAATATGTTAGAATATTGATGATTGTGGTTTGGTTGGGAAGCTGTGCTTTTTACAGACACAGATTCAAGACAATGAATTTCGTAGATATACTTTATATCATGATGGGAGATAGCTGGGTAGGGGATAAATTCAAATCTGGCATGATGGGACTGACCATTTAAATAGGGGACTAATACCTTTGCAGGCTTGACACTAACTTGTCAACTTATATTGCTAGCTGAGTGGCTGGTGACATCTTAGATGTTAAAATAATTTCAGTTTGTTTACTAGCCAAACTAACTGGTGGAAATCGAAAACCACTAGCCAAAACTGAATTTCCATTTCATGTTGAGCCCTGCCTTTGATGGCAATTATAGACTGATTTGGATTATAAGCTACAAATTGTGTTGTGTATTGCAATACATAGTGTTGCTATTGCAAGGACATCTCTTGTTGCTCACTTGCATTGTAAAATTTACTTTCCAAAGGGAAAGTAAAATAACTAAATAAAATTAATGTTGATCATGACACAAGGACTGCGCGGTGAGTAAACTATCTCGACACAGTTCATGATCAGTTGAAAGAAAAGAGTCATTTGATCTGTGAATACTTTACAACTATGGCCTATTATCATTGTTAGCTAAAACGAAAAAGTCCTGGAGGGGATTACTGACAATGGGTTGAGATAACAAAAAAAAAAAACAAAAACAAAAAACCAAAAAAAAAAATGAACAAACAAAAAATCCCTATTCAAACCAAGCTATGTGAAAAATAGATTTAATAAACTGTAACCAGGAAACAAACAACGTATTCTACACTCCCTAACGTTTTACTAATTTCTCTCCTTTCTATTTGTAACTTAAAATTAAGTTTTTCTCTCATTTTGAGCCATTCCCATCTTTATTTTATTTCTCATTGTTTGTATTACTCTCAACCAGTTTTATTACACTTAGGCATAAATCACGTGCTCAAATAAAATTCTTGATAAATGTAAAATTTATGTAATTCGTGAAGAAAACAAAAATCACAATATTTAATATTTAACACCTGGTAGGTCTCAATATTAATTTTTTCTAAAATATTTTTCATTCTGTTACAAGTTTAAGTTCCACTTAACGTATGTTATAGTTCCTTTATAATGTAAAGGTAAATACATTAAAACGCACGAGAAATAAAAGCCAAGTGTTCAATAATCGGTACACGCAAGCTTTCAACATGATATTGACGTAACATATATAAATTATTGTAGTTCAATTTTATACGCACCTTCAGGAACGAAATCGGGATCTCGCCGGAAACGAATTCCCATCAAAATAAGGAATAAAACGAGAGGCTTAAGGACTTCAATCAGTACAGTAAACTGATGAACAAAGCAAAAAAAAGAGCAAAAAATTTAAAATGAGACAAGCCCTTGCCGCTATAGCTTCATTGAAAGTAAAATGTGCAAAGTTACAACACGAGTTGTTTTTAACAAAGGTGTATTGTAAGAAATTCTGAACACAATTTATATAAAACTCACCGGAGCCCGCTTTTTCAAAGTGAAATTTTTCCAAAGCAAAAGCTTCAGCTGTAGTCCGAATCCCATGCCTGGTCTGATCGCGAAAAAGCTCAAGAGCACAAAATTTCTTTCAGATGTAAACAAGAAACCGATGTAAATATTTTTCGGTGCGTGCAGCAAAACGTCAACACAACCTATAAATGCTTTTTACTGGACATTCTGTTTTCCAAAACCCAGCGAAGTTCGTTAAGAACACCTTGAAAACAGATCTATGATACCAGCCACCAAATAAAAGTGTTGACGAGAAATTTGCAAGCCGGTTTCTATCACGAGTATCTCTCATCAGATGATGATGTAAAGAAAGGTAGGCGCATTCTTTATAAGGTGCTCCAGCTGATGACAAGAAAAGGTCCAAACAGAGTTAGCGTCCAGTACTTTTAGTCCGATACTCGATCTCAACTAACATGGCGTCTGCGAAACTAGCTGGGCCGCCCTCTTTCCGACATTTACAATGCAGAGATCTTCACCAGTATTTGGGAAGTTTACCGTCTGGTACATTGGACAGATTATACAATCACCCAGCGATTTGCCTAGCAGTTTTCAGGTGGGTGCAGAGCATTTAATTACAGGCACGTGTCTATTCATATTAACAAATTATTGTAAATATAACGTCGACCTTAAGACAGGCCCGGGTTGTTCGTAGGGTAGATAACTTTATCCGCTGGGTAAATCCCTATCCGTTGGATAGCAAAGTAGGTTTTGCTGATATCTAACCGCTGGATAGCGATTTATCCGTCGGATAGCGCCATCTGCCCTCTCAACAACTGGGACCTTAAGAATGATAAAAATTATAATTATGATAATAATGATGATGATAATATCGTCATTACTGGGGCAGATCCAAGGGTGGGTCGGTGGTTCAGTCGAACACCCTAAACTCAAGTGAAGACATTTGAAAGCGGTGGTGGTTTCTGATGAAGAACTTTAGTGGAGTCATTTCTAAAAACAGCAATTGTTTCAAAGGCATGACGAAACTAGCCTGTATAGCAGGCATATAAAGGGAAGGGGGTGGGGGAGGAGGAAGATTGGCAAAAAAAAAAAAAAAGATGTTTTGCCAATCTTCCTCCTCCCCCACCCCCTCCCCTTTATATGCCTGCTGGGCAGGCTATGAAGAAACCTACAATTATCCCATAAAACTTAAATGTCAACATTTTCCCAGGAGAGCATAATTATGCTCCCTGACCCTCTAGGATAGTCCACCTTAAGCAAACATTTTTTCAAACCCTCAAATGGAATTATTGTACGTGCAAGAGCTTGCTGGCATGAGCACAGAAAAAGAAGCGCTAAGTACTTAATGTGACAGCGTGATGCTGTTAGTGAGTTTTCGCAGGTGCTTACCAATACTTGGCTGTGTAGCTGTGCGATGCGGTTCCAGTCGAGGCCCACAAGTTGACCCTTGCTCACCATAGAGTCTCTAGTAGCTCAGTGGTTAGAGCATCCGACTAGATCACGGAGGGTCGTGGGTTCAAGTCCCATCTGGGGGTCGGATTTTTTCTATTACACTAAAAATTGTTTCATCTTTATAAGTACTTTTTGAACTTAGAAAAGAGAAATCATGTTCAAAAAAAAACATCAGAAATTGGTAATTAGCAGCGCTGTAACAACAGACCCATACCAAATACTTTCCGGACAAAAAAACTTTAACTAAAACTTTTTCAGAACAAAAGTGGTAGACATGGATTTTATCAAGTCTTTTCTAAACAATTTAAGTATATAGAAATTATCTGAAGAAGAAAAACTATTGTGTAATAGCCAGATCACCATAGATGAATGCAAAAGGATTTTAGAAACTTTTCAAAACAACAAGTCTCCAGGAAATGACAGAATCCCAGTTGAATTCTACAAAAACCGCACATTGGGATCTTATTTGTCAACCGTTCATCAATTGTGTTAATGAGTCCTTCGTAAAGGAAGAAATGTCCAATTCCCAAAAGCAAGCTGTCATTACTCTAATAGAAAAACAAGTGAAAGATTGCACACTAATAGAAAATTGGAGACCCATCTCTCTGGTTAATGTTGATGCTAAAATAACCTTGAAAGTAATTGCTTCAAGAATTAAAAATGTTTTACCCTATATCATTCATAACAATCAAACTGGTTGCGTCAAAGAGCGTTATATTGGTGAGACAGTAAGATCGATTCTTGACATCATGGATTTCACAGAGAAAGTAAATATACCTGGTGTGATGATATTTATTGATTTTCGCACAGTGTTTGACACTTTAGAGTGGAACTTTTTGTTTAACTGTCTAGATGCCTTTAATTTAATTTTGGCCATGAATTTAAGCAATGGACAAGTACTTTTTATAAAAATATTCAAAGTTGTGAGATAAATAATGGCATGTCTTCTGAATACTTTAATCTTACACATGGAGTTAGGCAAGGTGACCCTTTATCTCCTTATCTCTTTCTTTTAGCAGTTTAGACCTTAGCAATTGCCATTAGGGAAAACAAGGAAATAAAAGGAATTGTCATCGATAAACAAGAGACCAAATTATTACAATATGCCAATGATACTACAGCGGTTCTCTCTGATACAGAGTCAGCCCATAAACTTTTTCAATTGTTAGACAAATTTTGAGAAGTTTCAGATTTAAAGGTAAATAGTTCAAAGACAGAGGGACTCTGGATAGGATCTTTAAAAGAAAGTGAAATGAAACCACTTGGAATCAAATGGCCACAAGATCCCATAAAAACCCAGGGGATCTTCTTCTCGTACAATATAAAATTGCTCTATCTGAAGAACTTCATGGAAAAACTTGACAAGATAAAAAAATTATTAATATTTGGTCTTCTAGAGGATTATGCCTTTATGGAAAGGTGACTATAATTAAATCTTTGCTTCTGCCAAAGGTTGTGTAAGTGGCATCTTTGTTACCTACCCCTGAAAATGTAATAAAAGAATTAAACCATTTGATTTACAACTTTTTATGGAAAGGAAAAGACAAAGTAACAAGAAAATCTGCGATAAATGATTATGAAGGAGAAGGCATCAAAATGGTTGATATTGAAAGTATGATTATCTCTCCATCTCACCTGGCTGAAAAGAATCTTTGGCGATAATTCTGGCGCATGGAAAAATTATTTAGAATATCTTTTAAAAGATTAACAGGTGGTCTGTTTCTTTTTAATTGCAACTATAACATCAAAGACTTAACTATCAGTTCTCAATTCTACATACAGTTATTGAAATGGTGGTCTGAATTTCGGAAAGAAATGTGGTTGAGACTAATTGGCTTTACCGAAGTTGGAATAATCAGGAAATTAGAATAAACAACAAACCAGTCTTTTATAAAAGGTACTTTAATTATGGAATTCAGACAGTGGGAGACCTGCATTTGGATCTTAACAATATCGATTCTTATGAATTAATTGCAAAACACCTAAAGAGGATGAATTTTCTTTTTTTTTATTACTCTCTTTTTGTCAGTAAAAAGGCTTGCTTTCCAAATAACACAAGAAAATTTAAGTGTGAATTTAATTTAACCGATGAGGCACTGAAAAAAGCCTTTTCTCCTCCCCATTCAGTTGCTTTTGAGCCATATGTCAAGGCTTTCCAGTTCAAAGTATTGAACTCTTTACTTTACACGAATTCAAAATTACACAAAATCAGGTATATTGTAGATGATCTATGTTCTTTCTGCAAACACAAATCAGAAACAATACAGCATTTCTTTTATGATTGCTCTTATTCAATTTCTTTCTGGAAAGATTTGAATTATATTACTTATCTTGACAAAACAGCAGATACATCTTAATTTGAAGGATATATTAATCAGTCTTTTAACACCAGAACTTCCCTTACTTAACTATCTGTTACTTATAGGAAAAATTTATCTATGGGCGTGTAGAAGGATTAAAGAACTTCCAAGTATACGAGGTTTTCAATCAAAAGTCAAATTAAAGCATGAGACTAAAAAATATATCTATACAAAAAATAATAATTTAGATTATGTTTAGGAAGAAGTGGCATTTTAAAATACTAGAGGTAGTTGAATAATTTAGAATATGTCGGGCTAAAACAGGTGTGACTTTGCAATGTAAACTTGTCCGTGAGTGTGTGTACATGAGTGAGTGTGAATTAGCTGTGTTATACCGTAGGTCCTGTTTATTATGTTTAGTGCAGCAGTTAAGTATTGTAATGAAAGTTGTGTAAATGGTTGTGTGCAATGCAATAAAAAAAAAAAATTTTCCAAACCCTCTCTCAGCAAATCCTGGATCAGCTTCAGCATTGACGATGATGATAATAATCATCATCATCATCATCATCATCATCATCATCATAATAAAAGACAATAATAATAATAATAATAATAATAATAATAATAATAAAAACAGAAGGACAATGATGATAAGTCTGATGTTGAAGTTCAAGTTTAGCCCCTTCCCAAGGAGATACAATTATATAGGCACAAAACAACAAAAATCAACTTTGCAAAAATTTAAAGAATCTTTCCCACTAAAAGAGAAAAGAGAGGTTTTGGGTGCTTTGAATCTGTAGGCACCAAAGGTGTGAACCTCTGCAGACATGTCTTAAGGAGCATGGATAAAAATCAGAAAATGTTCAGAAATAAGGCTTGAAAGATGCCATTTTGTGTATTTTGAAGTCAGAAAAGGAAATTTTATGCAGTTTAGACTGACACAACTAATTCACAACTTTATGGGGTATGCTGCCATGTTTATCATAGGGAATTACCAGAACTTGCAAAACAATTTGTGATGAGGACTTTATTTGCTGATCAGCCTGTACCAGAAACCTTGGTAGCTGCATGGGTCAAAACAGACTACCAGAAGTAAGTTGTTGCATCTACCCATAATTCTTACAATCATGCATATAATTCCAAGTCAATTGACTACTTCTAAAACTAAAGATGATTTAAACTGACCCTCTGGTGAACAGACAAACCCACTGACTGACAGGTTGACAGATGGATAGATGATCATGGATTGAGAGACAGTTAGAGATACAGATGGACAAACAGACAGTTCAGGGCAAACCAACAGATAGATGATTCAGATACAATGAATATATGAAGTTCATATATTTTGAACTGCGGTTATAGATACGTGTGATGCACGATCCTCGCAGTAGAGAGCGCTATTTATGCAATAGCGAAAATCAGACCTGAAAAAAATCAGTCCTGTACGGGATTGGAACCACTGACCTCTGCGATACTAGTGCAGCGCTCTACCAATTGAGCTAACAAGCCAACTGGGAGCAGGCCGTTAAGTTGATTCGTAATAAACCCGTGA